TCATAAATGTCATGTTGAAATGTTTCAACATCAGAAATTCTATATATGGTAATATTATAGCAAAGGACTGGCCAAGTATCATGTCTTTATGTAAAACTTTATGAATTGTATTCGATATGCTTTGGGTATAGGTTCAATTGCATATTATGTAATATTCGACCGTTCCATCTATTCCAAATGCCCAGGGCATTAAGAGGGAAAAGGACCAAAACTAGATATGACTAAAGTAGTTAAACAACTGTCAAGGACAATCAAAGGTTCGCTAAGGATTGGTCACTTATGGGCAATTGGAAGTATAGTAAATGAATGGATCATATTGACATTATTATGAATAGATAAGATTCTATTAAGAACAAGTTGTCGTTTGGTAAATATGGAAATGTTTCTATAATGGGAGTTGGATATTAAGCATCTATGTGTAGGTTAGAAACTTTTGTGCAAGAAGGATGTTCAAATGAATATACTTTGAATGTGAGACTTCATATCTGTGGAGTTGTCTTATAACAACCTCCAAATGGAACGATTTGTTATATCGTTGAAAAAGTCCCTGTGACTTTGGTGCCTTGAAATTACAAAGGATAATTGCATGTGAGTTTAGATCTGACAAGAGTCTAATAGTGGCATGAATTTTGTATTATTACACTTATAATAAGGATTAGGGAATTGTGAAATGAGCATCATTGGAAATGTGTTTGACTGATCTATTTCACAAGGTAAGGACCATAGGAAAACATAGTGTGCATGCTTAGAATTGGATAACTGGTGTTTTAATTCAAGTATTAAGTTGATTAGTCGAAGCATAATACAATGAATAATGTGTAATCAATATGGTTGAGACCATATTGGATTGGATTATTCTTGTGATTCTCTTTGCATGTTTTACTTCTTGAATAATAAGATTATTCAAACATCCATAGTCAATCATACTTTGGAAGTAAGTAATGAGGTAAGAGTGTCATGAATCTGACTGTAGATTGTCTAAGTGTTTAGACATAGCACAAGTTTGCTGCAAGTGTTCATGAGTACTCCTGTAATAAGATTTGAGTATTGGATTAAACCCACACTCATCTGAATCACTTCATGGATTTTATCACGAGTGACTGTGAGACGATAATAGCCTATATTCTTGAAACAAAGACATATGGGTTGAAGTTTACAAGTCGGTTGCACATTGATGATAAGTAAACGCAACACTAACTTGGTGCTATAAAACGTATTGTTGTGTGTGATTTGATGAGTAAATTAAGCAAGCATATTAGTCAAAGTTTATCCATTCCTTTTACCCAAAGTGGGATACAAGCAATACCTGTGGTCCCCTTGATGATTTAGTGATGACCCTCTAAGCGCTTGGCCAAGCCTGGACTAAGTTGATGTATTCAATTGTAGTCTATTATAGTCGTCATAAATCGAAAATCAGAAAACAACACATGGATAGAGAGAATGATTATAAACCATGTCTCAGTCCATACAATATCATGTAGAATGGAGGAATATATGATCCATTGTTCCCTTATCAAAATGAGACATTGCTGATAAGATCAAAGTTCGACAACGGCTTTTAGAGAGCTACAATTGCTAATCGGATTTTGAAGTTACATTAGCAGTTATAGTTATTAGACTTATCCCAGTGGGAGACTGTTGGATTAGGTGTCCAAGCCCATAATTATAATTGGTATGTACTTGACCCAATAGTAGCATGGTGCTTTTGGGTTGCCTTCACCAGAGCAATTTGATAGGATGGATATTTGAGAAAGAGGTTATTTGTGATTAATTAATATATTATAAGAATAATAATTATATAATTGGTATTGGTCAAGAATTAATTTGGAATTAATTTAGTGATCAAAAGAGATTGATTAAATTAACGAGGACTGATTAAGTAAATCAGTAATACATATAGTTTGGGCCAATGATCCATGTTGATGTGGTTGAACTAATTTTATGTGGGAATCCATGAAGAGTTAGTCCAAAGGGCTTATCATATGGATTATTGGATTAAAGTTCCATGGTAGTGAATTAGGGTTTACAAGTGAAACCCTAGGAATACCACACTATAAATGTAACCCCTAGCATCACCAATAATGCCCTAAGAGTTCCAAGAAGAACCCTAGCCATTTTTGTGTGCCTCCTAGCCTATCTCTCATTATCCTCAATTGTTGGTGGTGTTTGTGACTCATTTTAGGAATCACATTTAAGGTGATAAGCTCTTGAAAGGTCAAGTTCTACAAGCTACAAATAAGAGGTATTCATCTAACTAGTTTTTATGTTGTATATCTCCAATTGCATGCTAGTTAGGGTACATGCTTTGGATAAAATGAAATTGCATGTATAACTTGAGAAAACTTAGATCCAAAGCTTTAGGGTTATATGTGCACCATAGGGATGTTATAGTGCTCAAAATCCGTCATCAATGCCACTCTATAATTTGGAAACATATGGGATTCTAAGAACAAATTATACTAATACACTATCATACAATACAACTCCTACATACTTGTTTATGATTTAGTAGTATAAACAACTTAAGTGTGTCGTTTTCTAAATAAAGGCTTTCGAAGGAATATGCGAGTTGAACCAACATTTCGAATGGAATCAACACTAATGCAAAGCATGATTACACAAGGGATTGCCACAACCTTATCTACGTATGAGGCTACCCTAAATGAATCTTCTATGAACAGTGGAAGTAATGACAATATTCCAGTCTTAAAAACTAAACAACCCCATATCCTGTTCATATAAGGATTTCTTAGCCTACCAACCCCCATCATTATTCGATACGAAAAGAGTCATCGGTCTATCCAATTGGATAGAGTTGATGGAGGCAGTTTTACGTATCAACTCTTGTGCTAATGACTGTTGTGTTAAGTATGTAGTTGTAATAGAATCGAGTTTGAATTACGAGATCAGACTAAAGTAAGAATAATGAGCACAAGATGTAAATAAGTTCTATTTGGATCAATTATTCTTTCAATGAGTATAAAGAGTGAACTATACAGGATAGACAAAGTAGCAAAGGTTCTATCATCTCTAGTACACATCCCATATTTATAGGGATCATGAAAGAATACAAAAAATACAAGGGACTAAACATTAAAAGTTTCGATACATAAAGTGCCCTTATAATAAAATAACAAACTATCGAAACTATCGATGACCTTCGACACCTCACAACAATATTCGACATCTACATTCTCCCCCTTTGTGAGAAGTGATGAATCAGGTCATCAACATCTAGATAGCAAGATACATAGATCTTCGAATTTTCGTGTACCAAGTCATCATCTTTTTCAGCTCTACCTTGTCTCCATCATTTTTCTTCTTACAACTATTCATACAAACAAGTAAATTCATATAGTGAGCAGTCATATACTTTTCAACGTCACAAGCCTGGAACAAAACATTTCGTATTCTTTCCCTTCTTACGTTTTCGAACAAAAACTATTCCAAGAGGCTTCAAGAAAATCTCTCCATCAACATAAGGCTTTAAATCAGATTGACTTTTCAAAAATGAGTGATTCACCGTAATTTCTTTTCCTATTGTCTAAGATAATTTGACATCAGTCAAAACTAAGCAGTCAAAATAGTTGTTAATGAAAAGCTTGATGTGTGCAAGACCCAACAAATAATCCTCCTTGCTTGTACCTTGGAGTTTCGATTCACCAATATCTTTAAGAATCTTTGCAACTGTGATCAAATCATGTAGATTCATGAGTGGGAAGTCAACAATTGAATAGTCGAATGTCGCATTGTTTTCTCTGCCCACATGATAGCGGAAATTCTTTAATACTCCCTCGAATAACACATCTTTGGAAATACTAAAAACTCGAACTATTTTGACAAGTGACCAGACTTCTTCTTCTTTTCCAAGGACATCATGAATTCGAAGCTTTAATCTCTTGAGCTCTTCTTTGTCTTAGAACTTATCATCAATTTGATATTGAGTAGTAATGAACATCATCTTGTTGATTGGAAAGTCCAACTGATTCAAATTGGAAATTTCTGTTGCATAGCTTTTCATTGGAATCTTCTCAAAATCATGCATTTCACCATAAGCAACCATTGCATTGATATTATCATAGCTATACGGATTCATTGGATCACCCTTCTCCAATCCTGGAGGATCGCTTTCATGAAGTCGAAAAATGCTTGATATCTGCCTTTTCTTTTCCATTTCTTGTTCTAAGGCAACTTTCGTTTCTTCTTTTGTAGGCTTAAAACTTATGTCTTTACCTTTGTTTCTATTTAATGTCTTTGATGGTTATGATTTTGACAAAGAAATTAATCCTCCAATAGCAATCCTTTTTGCTAAAGGTTTGTTATTGTTGTTGTCGAAATTATTGGATTAGTCTTCTTAGGCATTATCACTAGAATATGAGTAGTCTTCACCTTTCTAACTACATTCGCATCATCACCAGTCTTTCCAGAGCCTCCTTTGCCTATAACACTTTGTGAATATATGCCAACACTCTTCCTTTCTCCCCCTTGCACCCTTGTGACAACAGGCGGGGCATCTGTTGGCATCAAATTTGCAAACTTCGCAAGTGGAGCCAATTCATTGTGAATGGTTGACTCTAACAAGCGAAACTTCTGAGTTAAAAACTTAGGAGTGAGTAATGAAGATGACGAAGATCCAGACTTTGACATTAGATCTTTTAATATACCTAACAGCATAGCAACATTCCCAAAACTTGTAGCATCAACTTCAGCCTTCTTATCGAGTTTCGGAGCCATGGAGTTATACCATTGAACCATACTTGTTACTGCATCAGCTATAATATCTACTTTCATGTGAAGAGTAGAATAGTGATGAGTGATTTTTGCAACCTCCTTAATCATATCATTGCGAAGTTCTTAAATTTTAAGATTGACATTGTCATGAACTGTCTTGACATCTTGAACATAAAGGACATCCCTTTCCTTTGCAACAGCCTACAACTCTTTAAGTTCTCCATTAAAGGACTCAGATGGAGCTTTAACCCTTAACTTAGTGTTGTTGTCTATCTGATCAAGTTTATTTGAATACAATGCTCTTGAGCTTTCAACATCACATCCACTTCTATTCTAGATATTGAATGTTTATCCCCTGCATCAACTTGGAATTGTAGCAATGAATTTAGTTTCCTATTCAAAATCTTAAATTGCTTCCCAGACATCAGCATGTGATTAGGAATGTTCTCCTCTTCAGGATCGAACTCTATTTCGGCAAACGAACCCATGAACTTACCATCATTAGTTTTATCACCGTTAACTATTTTTGGACCTTTGGTGGATTGAGATGGGAAAAAAGAAGTAATAGGTTGTTGCATGATGTTATCAAAAGTCGGAGAATGTGTAGAATGAATTATAGAAGAAGCATGAATATGAAATGGCGGTAAAGAGACTGTAGCATCAACACCAGATGTGTCGAAAGAAGATCAGATAACAAGATTAGGATTGCCTTGGGCTTCTTCGTTCGATACTCATTCATCCTTATTGAAATTTATGTCCATATTAGATATGTTCTCAGTGATGCCTAAAGTGCGAACCTCCTCAAAAATTGATTGGGAAGTTGACACTCTGGGTGGTATGACCATAGTCTTCGCATGAGTAGAATTCTTCGATTGTTCACCTTGATTGATGGTTCTGTCGACTTTAGAAGCTCCCACATTTCCACCAGGATTTCCAATCGCCTCGAGATTCGACTTGATTGGAGAACCCCCTCTCAGGTGAAGAGGCCATTGTATCATCTCCAAATGGAGATTCAGGAATTACTTCTTCACCCATTGAGTCTTCAGGGATTAGTAACGTACTTTATTTCTTTTTCTTCTTCGAAATTCTTTTGGCCATGTCTTCAACACGCCTCTTCTTTGATGTTGGAGATACAAGTGTTGGAATTTCATGAATCACAACCCCCTTTCTATTGTGCTGAGGATTTCGAGTGAGAATTGGGGAAAAGATTCTAGATCATTCAGGTGAATGGCGTGGTTTATGAGCCATTTTCTTCAACTGTTTGAACACTCCTGACTTTGAAGGTACCACCTCCTTCGAAGGTGTTGAAGTGTCTTCAACAACTAGCATGGGATTGTTCTTTGAAGATTTTTCTCTTTTAACAGCTTTCTTGGGAGACTTAGCCACTTTTTCAATAGACACATGAGTAGGTTTTGAAGGACTAGCATGATCTTCTTTCTTTAAGCTTCTTCGTTTCTTCGAAGGACCTTCAGTAGTCTTCGGTAATAACACGCCACTATAAATCGATGGATTGATATGTTGCAAGTAGGCCACCAAAATTGAATTCGAAGGATCAAACTTTCTCAACATCACATCTGGGATACGAGAAATAGTAACAAACACATCTTGATTATCTTTGATAGTTTTTTGATAATGATACACCGAGAATTCAGCCGTTTCTTCATCTTCAGGAACCATAATGCCTTCCTTCTCATAGACAAATTGCAGAATTAGGCTCTAGTAGCGAGCACACGATATCCCATCTACATCATTCGTATTCCTGATACTGTTCACAAACTCATCCCAAAATTGGGTTGCACAGTCCACTGATAAATCATATTAGATACCGGCCACCAAAGCATAAACCTCCAATCTAGCTTTATCTAACCCCACTCTTTGACCAAACAAGCATCGAAGATAAATGCCAAAAAAGAAATTCCATATGAAAGGTAACCTAGACTTCTTAAAATCATTGATTTTGGTAAGAATTGGTTAGTAACCCATCTCATTGAACATATGGAGGACTTGTTCATTCGTTACCTTGTAGAAAGGTTTAGCATTGGGGATATTCAAAATCTGAGCAAAAATCTTTTTCGTTAACTTGAACTTTTGTCATTCATCATATGGAACGTCACAACCTTCATCGTATTGTTGTAAGTTGCTGTAGAACCAACAAGAGAAACCAGGATAGTGGTATAGAAAAACAACTAAGCATTACTATTGATAACACCGAATTTAAAAGAGCAACGATTAACATCCGTAACCCTTCTAGATAAATAGAAACATCAGATTGAACTTGATGATTGGTGCTTTGGATCTTCATGATGGGTTGAGAAGAAACGTCTTTAGAGGGTTGAGATTGCTGAACTTGCTTTGCCGTTATTATTAGGTTTTGAAAAGCTTGAAGAATATCTGAGAGAAAAGGTCACAAATCTTTTGAGAAAACTATGTGAGCGTAAATTGGAATAGAATTCCAAAATCCCTTTCTATAAGTACAACCAATGTGAATTTCAAACGGTTGCTATTAAATTCATGCCACGTTACACCTTGAAAAATCACGCTTATAGTTGTAAAGGTAGCCGCATCTGAAAAGTAATGATCACTTTTTGCCTTGGAAATCGCCTAACAACCAAATCATCACATCAACTATCTTTTCGATAGTACTCAACTGATGAGGACCAATAATGAACCCTTCGAAATGAAGGATGGGCTCTTTCACTTTTGGGTTTAAAAGCGAAGTCATTTGCCAGATTTGCGAAATCTTTAACCTGAGTTAGTATTACCTAGAACCTCAAGGATTTCATGGGTGCAAAATGTGCCAAAGAAAAAGATAAGAAACAAAAGAAGAAAATTTTGGTTCTGTGATGTCAAAATAATATTTTGACACAAATGTAGTAAGATCCCAGAAAAGATCGCTTCACCAATCATCAAGAGAGATGACAAACAACTTGTGTGGTTTCCCGTGAATTACAATTGAATACTTGTAGAGAAGTATCGAAAGGCATCTTTTTTAAAGCCTTCATGGGTGGTTGAAAATTTTGTTACATATCACAACTAAACACCAGAGTGATAAATTGTAAACGAAATTACCTGTTTGACCAGTGTAGTCAGGGACAAGTATGCTTTGGAAAAATTTATTAAGTAGAATTAGATTGATACTCACACTAAAATTATATTCCACAAAACAAAATTATTCATGGATCTTGTTGGGTAAAAATGTCATGGGTTTCAAACATTTTATCAAGACCACGCAAAAAGAAAAAAAAATGATTTGGAGTATCGAAAAATGGTACTAAAACAAATGTTTCGTGAAAATCTGGAACAAAGTTCCCCGCCAATTCCTTTAATGGTTCGAAAAGTTTTGGGTTTCACTTTCATCATGGTTTCATGAATCCAGATCATAAACACAAAATGTTTACATACCTATAACCTAGTTGGTTTTGAGTAGAGATGTCTTGGGTATGTGTCTTTGTGTGTGGTTGTGAAAGAACGTTAGGATGAAAAAGAGTGGTTCAAGAATCAAAAGTACCTCTGCTATGAGTGTACCAAGTAGTTAACTCTTAACTCATGTGAGAAGAGTAAGGTAGCTTAGGAACTAATGTGAATATAGCCTGATTGGGTAGGAAACTGATGGGTTTTGAGCATTCGAACAATCATATGGTGTACATGTAACCCTATAAACCTTGATTCTATGTTTTCTCTATTATACATGCACATATTACATATTCCAAGGTTTCATCATAACTAGCATAATATGAAGCAAGTATACTACAATAATCTAGTAGAATGACATACCTTTTGATGGAGCTTGAAGTCTTGAACTTTTAAAATCCTAGTGCCCCAAGTCTTGCACCTCAAATGGTTCACACAACACCAAAAACCCTTGGAATAACTTAAGAGTAAGGATACTTGCACCAAATCAGTTTTTCCCTCTGATGTACTATACACTAGTGCCATTTCATGAACTAGGGATCTCTTTATACAGTGTGGAGGATTAGGGTTACATTCATGTAAACCCTAATACACATGACCTTTGATTTCCATAGGATCCATGGGTTAAAAACTCCATGGACTATCCATGAAAGCATAGCCCAACCTAAATGAACTTGGCCCACCATATATATATAAGAGTCAACATTTAATTAGTTCCTTTTGATCACTAAATTAATTCTTGATCAATACTAATTAAATAATATGATTTCATATTAATATATTAGAACTACAATATATTAATATAAATCACTAGTATCATTTTTCTCATTTTGTCTATCCAATTGTTTCGATGTCGTGCATCCTAGATGGACCATGCCAAATTGGTTCAAGTACATACCAATTATAGTTATGGACTTAGACACTAATCCAACAGTCTCCCACTTGGATAAGTCTAAAACTATTATTTCGTATGACTCCAAAACCCGACTAGCAATCATAGCTCTTGAAGCCATGTCGAACTCTAACCTAGTCAATGACTTGTCCATTAGATAAGGGATCATTTATTCCTCCATTTTAGATATCATATGGACTGCGAAATGGATTATAATCATTCTATATGTCCATTTGTTGTTTCCCGATTTCCGATTTATGACGACAGACTAATTGAACAAATCAAACCAGTCCAGGCTTGGCCAAGCACTTAGGGGTGTCATTACTAAATCATCGAGGTGCCCATAAATATCGCTTTTACTTTTCCAATGGTAAAAGGAATGGATAAACTTCAACTCATATGCTTGTTCTACTACTTTATGAGTCATACACAAAGGCACGTTTTATAACATCGAGTTACCAATGCGTTTTCATGCAATCAATGTATAACCAACTCATAGTCAACAACTCATATATCTAGGTTTGAAGAATATAAGATATTATCTCTCATGATCACTAGTGATAAAATCCATAAAGTGATTCAAATGAGCGTGGGTTTAATCCAATACTCAGAACTTATTAGTACTCATGAATGTTGTAGCAACTCTTCCTATGTCCAACACCTTAGACATCTACAAGCCAACTTCATGACAATCTTGCCTTAATACATACTTCCAACATATTATCGACTGTGGATGGTTTGAATAACTTAGTCATTCGGGAAGAATGACCTAGTTATTCTGGAATTCAAAACATGCAAAGTGAAACACAAGAATAATCGAATCCAATATGGTCTCAGAACTTATGAATATAAATAGAACACCTTTATTTATCACCGTATTGATTACACATTATTCATTGCATAATGTTTCAAATAATCAACTTAATACTTGAATTAAAACAGTAGTCATGCTATGCTCTAAGCATACACACTATGTTTATCCAAACTATAGTTATGCCACACATCAAGTATGCAAACTATGTTTTTCTATGATCCTTACTTTGTGGAATAGATCAATTGAGCATAATTTTAATGATTCTCATTTCACAATCCCAAATCCTTACCGTAAATGTAAGAATTGCAGATTCCTGCCATTTACCAAAATCTATTAGATTCTAAACTTATATGCGTTGATCCTCTCGTAATGACTATGCACAAAGTCACAAAGACTTGGCAACAAACATTACAATGTATTCCAATGGAGATCATTCCATGGAAATGAAGTCTCAAATTCAA